ATGAGATCATGATTTGTTTCGGAATGTTTGTGAGTTAGGACAAATGTAACACTATGCCGGGGCGTGATGCTGGAACAAGAAATTCTGCTTCCATGCCTAGCTAACATTCGTGATCACATCTACTAACAAACAGTTGTGGAGAAGCAAACAGTTAGGCAGAGGAGAGAGTTAACGGGCATGAAGAATCCCAAGTGTGTAATCGGAGTCTAGACCTTTAGGGTTGGCTTTTCCTTAACACTTAGAAGACTCATCAACTGTTCTAGCCTAAAGCATTGGCCATGAATTACTCTAATTAATTAAGTACCCAAATGTCACCATTTCCCTGCAGAGTTACACTGTGCATTTTCTTGAAAGCATTTGTGACTAGGGAAATTGGAGAGACTGAGGTTAAACGCTGAGGACTTTAATGGCCACAGTGTTCTTATGGAATCTGTAAATGACCCTTTCTGAAGATTTTGACAGTACTGCAAAGACTTCATCTTTACCATCTTAGCAATACAGCGTCCTCCATTGCGCCAAACACCTCACGGCTTTTCATTCAGGTCTTGGGCTTGCTGCTTGGGCGTTTGCCTTTTTATTGTCTAGATGGCAAACTCAAGGTGGGCACCCCTTCCAAGAGCAACGGCGAGCAACCATGAACAGAATGTTTTCCTTGATTTCCAGTTTGTTAAATGCATGAAGTTCAACCCAAGAGCTGTACTCTGCCATCGTAAATTTCATTCTCTACATCACCATGAATTTCTAATTATCAGTAGTTGATGTTATATATAGTTCCACCAGAGACTTAGAGCTGTCTCCAGCCTTTTGTGGGATGGTCTGCAAGCCCTGTGGTCAAGACAGCATGGGTTTGTCCTCAGCCTGGACATTACTACCTGAGAGGCCATGGGCAAGTTACATAGTCCCTCACGCTGTGGTCTTCCTGAGTAGGAAATGGAGTTAACAGAAATGCTAACTCCATGGAATTGTTGTGGGTTTAAAGGAAATCCTGTTAATACGCAGGCTGAAGCCCCAGATCTGATGCACAAATGCTCAATTAATGCTAATTGTGAGTGTTGTCTTTGTTTTATCCTATCCCCCATCCTTAACAAGTTCCTAGCTTGATCACTGTCACATAGAATACCGTATTGGGGGCTATGGGCACAAAAATCATCGTAGTGGTCCAGCAAATAACTGTACTATATAAAATTCACTCCACTGCCCTTCTGAGTTTCATTTAACTCACAAAGGATCTGTTTTCATTGTTCCTAATTTCCCAATGACTTCAAGAAAATCTAAAATTCAAATTTATGTTGTAATATTTCAATCCATGGAAATAGTAAAATAGTTAAGTTATGATTTCCATGGCCTTACATCTTTCTCTTTAGAGACATATTCTGGTGAGAAAACAAATTAAAATTTCTCACAAAGCTACATTTTAAATAGAGTTTCTAATTTTATCTGCCAGCATTGATAATAAAAAAGCCTATTTTTTCATGTGTTGTTTTTAAAGCTTTTTTTGCCAATAAAAAAATCAGACTGTTTTGAATAGAGAAGGGCCCATCAGTGGAAGATATGTAGGTTCATTATGTTAGTAAACGCCTAAAGCTGTAGCCTCATTGTTTCAAATAATACAAAATACGAAGTACTTTAATTCTTAGGGGCATCATTAGGTCTAGAAATCTCAGAATAAACTTAAAAATAAAATGCATTTTAACTCCCTCTGTTTTGTGTCATTTCCATAGAGTGAATATAAATCTGCTTATACTTTGTTTCTCTTTATAGTAGGAGCCTTTGATCACTTCATATCAACATTGATTTTTTTTTCAGATAGCTAAAGGAAGCCTTAATATCCCCCATGCACCTTTATTTTCTCCAGGAATGGAGAAAAAGATGAAGAATTTTCCAGTTTGGAAGGGGAAGAAGCATTCCAGGCAAAGGTAGCCTGGGCGGGGGGAATAAAAGGGTTAAGGGGGGTCCTTGCCCTTGTACACACATGTACACAGACCAAGGGGCAACATCCTGTATCTCCCTTGTTTCTTCTCCACCTTAGTTTTGAGTTAGTTCTCTCGTTGAACCTAGAGCTCACCATTTGGGCTAGTAAGTAAGACCAAGCTGATCAGGACAAGCAAGCAAACAAACAAACGCCCCACCAAACCCGCAACTCCGTGTCCTGTGCCTGGGACTCTGGTTGGCTTCCTCTGGGCTCCGCAAGCTTGGATAGGATAGGCTTACCTCTCCAGTTCTGTCCCTGAGGTATGTGTCGCCTCTCCTGAGACAGTTCTGCGGTGTTCCTGCAGTTTGCATTGACTTTGTCCAGTGTCTCTGTACTTGTGTTGCACAGAGACCTCTTTGTACCCAGGACTTCTCTGCAGGGAGTCTGGCCCTGCCAGCACAGTACCTGGCCTCCGCAGCATTCTGGAACCTTGGGGGGAGGCTTCTGTGATTCCATGACTCCTGCATATTGAAAACGGCGTGGATGATCTTACCCAGCTGGAGTTCTGCTGCCAGCTAAAGATGTAACATGGACTCCGTTTGCCACAGCTACAGCGCCCTCTGCTCATCCTGGCTGCTGGAGCTGAGAAACGATCCCATGGGGAGCATTGTAGAAGCAGGGAACCCTTCAGGAGCGTCACCTTTCCACGGGCTGGGGCCTCTGGTGGGTGGGGTCTTGCCCCGAAGTCAACTTTCCTAGTGGCCAAGTGCTGGTGTGAGTTTTCGCCTTAAAGAACCTGATCCCCTTTTCCATCCTGGCTGCTTCTTCCCTGCCCAGCTTGTTAGCAGGTTTAGACTCACACACTCCTCTCCTCACCAACCTTCACAGTTTTCTTTCTTGTCTCTGTCTCTGTCTCTGCCTGTGTGCCCCTGTCTGTCTCTTTCTCCGTCACTTGTGTAAACATGGTGAGCAATAGCCACGCCACACTCTGAATGCTAGCCTGTCCTGCAGTCTCCTATGCTACGTAAGTTAGTCCAGCACTTTCGAATTCAGCCTCAGTTACTCAGGACAGGTGTGGGATGTAGCCAATGTTCTTTTTCCAGATGGATGGCTTCTGCTACAGTTCCCAATGAGTCCTGTTCCCCTCCAAGTGTCACGGGCTAAGCTTCCACAGTTTTCATTTCTCGTGGCACTCAATTTTTTGCACTCCCACTGGAACATTCCACCATTCTCTCCTTACAGTATTCTGGGGTTTTTCTGAGACTCTTCCACCTGGCTCTCCTAAGATCTCAGAGCCAACTTGCCAGGCTCTCCGTAACCACAGACTCACTCCTCACCAGCTAACCAGGCTCTCCATAGCCACAGCTCACTCTTCAGCAGAGAGAGCTGGTGCTCCTCTTAATTTGTCCTCTTCATTCAGTCCAGGGCTGCAGCCCGCATCCAGGGTTGGTCTCCCTTCCTCAGTTTCCTCTCTGGAAACACCTTCACAAACATGCCGTGAGATTTGTCTCCTGAGTGATTCCAATCCCCTCAGCTGACTGTCAAGATTTAACCACCACGTTTCCTGTCCTCCCCAGGGGGCTGAGCTAGTGCAGCGGGAAAGGGGGTTGCCTGCCAAGACTGACCACCTGCGTTTGAATCCCAGGATCTCTTACTCACCTGTTGGAGAAAACGCATACCCATGCACACACATGCAAAATATACACACTGAATTAATTGGTTAAGTTTAATTTGAGAAAGTTAAGATCATCACTGGCCTTCTAGTTCAGGGAAAACCCCATCACAGCGGCATGTGGAATGTCACGTTGGGGCTGGAGGAGCCGCTGTGGCATGGTGTCTCGGGACTGGCAGAGAGGCCAGTGCCTGGTTCCTGGAGATGGCTGACAGCCACACACCCTCACATCCACCCAGCCCACGCCAGTGTCTCCAGATGTGGTCTCTTTGAAGAACCAAGAGACCTTTGAACTCAAGACGCTTCCTTTGAGTAACTCAATCACTAATGCAAGTTTTGTGTGTGTGTGTGTGTGTGTGTGTGTGTGCGTGTGTGTGTGTGTGTGTGTGGTTGGCCACTATCCCTTACCTTTCTTGTCTTTGAGGAACTCCAGACTGCTACTGGACTCTGGTCCCTTTTTTCCTCTCAGAGAGGCTCAAGAAACTTCTGTGAGGTCACTGATAGGTTTTCTGCCTCAAATAGTAAGTTTCTTTGCTGATGCGCAAGCCAGATCAAGCCAAATTCAAGAGGCGTCATGACATTACACTTGGAGTAATCTTGAGAATTTTGCCATGCTGCTGCAAGTCCTGCAACCTGACCTCTACTTGAGTCTCCAGTCTCATTCTCTGCCACCACTGTCTTCTAAATTTCTCAACTCTGTGACTCAGTTTCAAGCCTTATGTTAGGCTTATCGGGATTCTTCAGAGGATGGTGTAGAGATCACCCTTCACAATTTACCCAATTATGTAACTTCCTCTTGGTTACTTTCTATTGTTCTCCACATAACCATTCTTCCTTGTCTCATCCTATTGAAGAATGGTAGACGGGGCCACTTTGGAGCGAGTGCAATTCTGAGCCAACAGCCCTTAAAGAAGTAGCAGGCGTAAGGCCCCTTTGAACGCTCAACGCTCCAGTCTCTTCCCGAAGGGCCTGTCTTGTCCTCTAACCTCCAAGTCCTATGCCCGCTTTCCCCCAGGACTGTGGCCATCAGCTTAGGTCAGCCACTCGTTTCTACGCAGCCTTAGATCTTATTATTATCAAAAATTGCAACTCTAATATAACCTAAATTCCTAGCATCCAAACTCCCCCATCACGTATATTGCATTACAACCCTGTCTCCAAGGACTAGCTCTCCAACGATATCCAGTAGACTGTCTCTAATGCTCTCCATTTCCCATCCCTGGTCCCCCAATGGCTTCTTTATCTCCTCATTCTCTGGGAAGCGGTACACACGTTTGACTGAAACACAACCCCCTCTGAATCCACCTCTCCGTTTGTGACATCTCCTGCATCTGATTCATCACCAAACATGTTTTCAGAACACAGCCTGAACATAATTGATCTACATCGCCTCCGCCATCCGTGCTGGTCTGAACCACCATCCCGTCTTTCGGATCCCATTGCGGTCTAGGCCCATTCTCCCTGCAGTAGTCGTAGTGACCTTACTATTAACTAAACTCACGGTTAACAGGGGGACAGAACTCATCTCTTTGCTCAAACACTGAAGTCACTTCTGTCAGGGACCTTGAGCCATCAGCCAGCTAGGCTGTATCACGTACTCATAGAGAAGACATGACACTAAGACTACCCTGCCACCCCTTCTGACATAAAGCATATTCCAAGTAACAAGCCTGGGGTTTACCAGTCAGTTAAAGATTAGCTTAATTGGAAAAACTACAAGGTCCTCAGAAGATAGGCCTGAGCAGTAGTAAATTGTAATAGATAGGATCGGACCCTGCTGTCAGGTTAACAAGCAACATAGGAATTCTTACCCCTGACCTCTTGCTCTGTAGATTAGGTAGCCAGGCAACACAGCAGACCACCTCTCCCACTGACCTCTTGCCCCTGCAGCTGCAAGCACATCCTCCGCCTTTCCCTCCTCAGTTCTCCTATATAAATCCCCTTGTGATGAAATAAAGTTGTCGCCTTGATCAGAATCCTGTCTTGGCGTCCATTCCTGTATCCCCTGTCCTCCATCTTTCTCCTAGGTGTCCACCAGACCCACGTTGAATGTCCTGCGGGTCGGGACAACTTCCACTGTCCCTTGATAAAAGGTCAACTCCTCACCGTGGCTGACAAGAGCCTACTGACAATTATTTGCCCTAAATCATATTGTGGGAGGTTGGTGTTGGGATCCTTTACTGTTACCAAAATCTTTAGATGCTCAAACGCCTTATATAAAATGCTGTGGTGTTTGTATATATCCTACACATGCATCCTCCCATGGGATTCGAATGACACACAATTCCTTGGCATAGATGTTACAAAGATAGTTATTACACTGCATCACTCGGGAATCACTCACAGGAAAAAAAGTCCACATGTATTAGTCTACTCATGGTCCCCCCCAAATTCCCCATAGATAGTTGGTAGATTTGTCTGTTGCAGACCGTATTCATATGAAAGATGTCTGTGTTTGTTAAATGACTGAATTTTTGTGAATAAAGATAACATTAGATAGTGGGTGCCTTCTTAAGCAAAGAGTTTAGGCTCAATGTTGACATCCAACCAGCTCCCCAAACCACATGGGGACTTGACTTGTCTTGGTTCGAATGGTTTTCTGTGAATTCAAGAACAAGTGTTGTTTTTTTTTCTTTTTTCCCCTCAATATATGGTTTTATTTAAATTAGAAACACCCATGCTTCACATGTCAATCCCAGATCCCTCTCCCACGTCCCTCCACCAGTCCCTTCCTAGTCCCCCACCAAATCCCCAGGCAGGGTGAGGCTTTACAGGGGATCTCCAGAGTTTGTTATTTCATCCAGGGCAAGACCTAGGCCCTTCCCTATGTGTCCAGGCTAAGAGAGCATCCCTCCGTGTGGAATGGGCTCCCAGAGTTCATATTTTTTGGTTTTTCGAGACAGGGTTTCTCTGTATTGTTTTGGAGGCTGTCCTGGAACTCGCTCTGTAGACCAGGCTGGCCTTGAACTCACAGAGATCTGCCTGCCTCTGCCTCCAGAGTGCTGGGATTAAAGGTGCGCGCCAGCAAAGTGTTGTTTATTTTTATAACCTGGCCACTCCGCTCAGTGGCCAGAACAGAGGGAACGCTCACATCATTTGTGTAAAGGCTGGAAGAGGAGGCGCTGTGTAGAATTATCAACCTTCCCAGGGTGGCTTGACGTCTGCATTCCTGTACGCTGGATAGGCAAGTTCCCACCAGTGATTACCACAGTTTTTAAAAACAGTTTAAGGAGGAAACAATATTTATTGTTTGAATCGATGCTGTGTCCTTGTTTCCGTCATAGCACACCCAATGACTTCATTCAAGCCACTCTAATGTTAAAGGTTCACGGAACCATGGGCAAATATTTCACACATGCTAACTCACCACTCAGCCTCTGAGGTGATATGATGATTTTACCCCAGTTGTTTAGATGGGAAAATTAAGGCATTGGGAATTATAGAGACTTTTTACCCTCTTAGATACTAAGCTATTCTGCCCCTTTTCATCCAAGCATGAAAACATGCATATGAATTTAAAAATGAAGAAAAAATTAATCGACTTCATGGTGAGTCTCTAAGAGATTTTTGACTGGCTATGAGCAGTGTTTACACTGATGTGTGAATTGTCAAGAAAGATTTTAATAAAAACAGATCCCGCTATCCCAGTGGATGATATGAATATGGCTTTCACCTGAAAAACAATATCTGAGGGTGACCTGGCAGCCAGCAGAGGAGTAGAGAAGAAGAACAGAAAACTAAGCTGTGTCGTCGGCGTCTTTAGCCAGGCCGGCATCTTTGTTGTTCTTGACGAGGTATCTGCTTCTCCAGACTTGCTGCAGAGCTCTGAGGGCCAGCAATGGAAGGCGTCTGTCTGTCCCCTGGACCAGAGCCCTGCTCAGTAGAGGAGCTATAGAAATAAGATAATAATTTTAATAAAATGTGACAAGTACCTTCAGTTTGCTCTATATAAGAACAGGGACAAATGGATCCTCAGAAGGCCCTCCTTGTGGGAAGAAACAAATAAATAAAAATATGCCTGTGCTTAAACCCTGGGTGGCTGATCCCATGATTCCAGGCACTGATCAAAGGCATGAGTGGTGAAGCCACAGCATG